ACAGTCATTGAATAGTTATTCTTTTACTTAGCGTCTTTGATTAAATTGTTATACTCGTGTTCGAGTTAATAATTTCGACTCAACTTAATCTTGTATTCCTAGGCTAACTTTTTAGGGCATGTCGTTCACTCGATATTCCCTCAACCGTACCTCAATTTCTGTGGTTTCAAATGACCTCCCACTACAGTTCTTAGATTATTATCCATTTCATGAATTCAAACTTGGATTCTTCAAAATACCAAGTGATGAAGGCCACAGCGATACGTGCGAGCAAACAAAAGAAACTTACCTTGCACGTTTTGCGCTTAACTCGCTTTCAGGCTTTTCGGTACTTTTTTGAAATAATTGTAATGGCTCTAACTTTTCTAAAAAGGTCCGTTGAATATCCACCGATTTTTTCTGGCTGTATCTATAGTTGATCCACTGACTTTTCTCTATTTTTCTATTTTTTTACAAAGTGGTTGCACTAACACACTGTTTTGTAAAAAGAGCAGAAACACATTTTAGTTTGATGACGACGATGGATTTATGAAATTCATGTTTGCTACAAACGACGTTGTTAAAGAAATAATTGAAGAAGCATCTAAGTACAATCTCTTGCAACAAGTCCCAGAGAATATTTGTGATAAATGGTGGGGTAGTTTTTTTTCTTGTGCTATAAGCTAATTTTTATGAGCAGTTTCTTATTAAATTACTCAGAGTTCTCATATTTTTAGTGTAATATATGTCTGCCATGACTCTTTTGGGGTAATAGTAGGTCTCCGTTTTATATTTGATCTTCCTTTTGTTTTTCGTTTTAGATTTGAATGGTACTGAGCAATTTAAAGAGGGATTTGTGTCTTTTTTGAAAAATGCCAAACTGCAGGCGAATTCCTACTAATTTCATACAGATTAAAGTCTTTGGTGAAAGGACACCACTGGTTTTTACTTTATCAATGATTTAGCTACATTATGGTGTTCTTTGCTGATACCGCGGTTGGCATGCGATTTCGGAAACGATTCATGAGTGATGTTTTACATGCATTTGACTGTTTAAACATGCATACTTCTCAAGGTATTTATCATGAACTTCTTACTGGTAAATTTGTTCAAAATAGTTCTTAAGTTCACCTGTATCAAGTATTGTAGAACGCAATCATATTGATGAGCCATCTACAAGTTCTGCTTATCCACTTCTATCACCGGTTAAACTGATTTCTAAGGGCAAGAGTGACTCTGCAGGGAGGCCGTGCTTAATGCAATCAGTTTGGTTTTTTAGGGTTTACGACTACTTTGTTTTCTAATCACCATTTGAATTTGACATGAAACTTTAGCTTCACGCATCTCTTTCTATTTCTCTTTAGAAATTCGTAACTGATTTGAAGTTTCAAAATATTTTTTTAGCGTTTGTCGCATTCTGATATATGTGGTTCTGAGCAGGAGTCTGAACTTGTTCCTTGTGCAAGTTTGTTTATCAACCATTACAAGGCTGATTCTTACAGGGCTACCGATTCAGGTCATTCATTCTTTATACTGTCTTGCCAAATGATTTTTAAAATTTTTTAGAAAAGGAACTTTTTAGCATCTTTGGCTGTACTTTTCTTAATTTCATCATTTTCTCGCTCTTACTGTTGGAGTAAGAGAGTTACGTGAAGAAATTATGTTTTTCTTCAGTAATGGGACACTGGTTGCTGCATTACTCTCCACTACTTTAATTCATTAGTACCACTTACAGAGTTAAATGAGATAAAATAACCTATCAGAAAGCTAACTTCACTACCACTGGTGTAGAATCTTAAATTTCCCATCTTATTGCTTTTTGATTTTCATAATTTTGTTATTCGTATTTGAGGATTTTCAGTTTGAAAAGAAAATTTTTTAGTTTTTTTTAATTTCATGAGGTGTGTTAGTATAATGGATTTGGCTTGTATTAAGAATTGCAAATGCGTTGTATAAGTGTATCGTTTTGTTCAAATTTTTAGTTATACTTTTCTGTACTTAATCTATCTGAATTCCTTGTAGTTTATATTTCTAAGAAATTCTTTCAGAGATTCCATCGTCTCCAGAAAAAGATGTTGGGTTGCTAACAGTCCAGTGTACTGAAGTGGAGAAAAATAAAATAAAAGGATTTTTTCGTCCCAAGTTTCTCTCTCCAGGCCTTTATATCCCTCCACGGCTTTTTTATTATTTGGATGGCGATTTGCTATCTCCTTTTGCAAAGATACAAACTCTCGGAAGTAGGAACCTACTTGCCAGCATTCGTAAGTTGTGTTTTACATACAGATGTTAGGTTCTTGATTTGGCCAGAACTACGGTATACGGGTGATGTTGATAAGCTGCTCAAAAAGTTTTTCTTGCTTTGGTCTAATAATTTTAACGACAATGTAACGTTTATAGTAATTGTATTATTGTTATATTAATGGCCGTATTGCAGTAGACAAGTAGAAGGTAACTGTTATGAACATAAGAGCACAAGTTAACTGATGTCTTTAGCGTTATTTTTTGTTTATTGTTGGTTTCTTGAAAGAATTAATTTTTAATAGTTTTTTTACGAATTCAATTGAGGCTTCAGATAAATTGGTTGTAAAAACTTAGTTAAGATTTTGCAGTTGAAGTAATAAAGGATAATTATGTAGAAATAAAAAGTGAAATTAATTTTAAAAATGGCTGAAGACAGAAAGTGATGAACGTTGAGTGTGGAGATGGTCAAAAACGATTTTTTGAATTTTTTTCGAGAGATCGGTTAGTGGGATTGATGAGAAAAATTTACTCAAAGCTTGTTTGCAAACGTTAGTAGTCTGATTTGCAGTTTTACTTATTGTTAAACCCTGAACTTAAGTGAAGGGTAAAGGTTTTTCTGGAACTACAGTTTTATTCCGCCTACAGCATACATTTGAAGAGCTTGTTTTAGCGTTTTATTGGTGGTGTTTTGCTAAGATTTTCTAAATAATTGCTCTGGTTTATGAGGGCCGTGGAAATCGGTGTGTAAAATTTATTTCGGTTTATAAAAAATCTGGCGTAATGCCACCTACATTGAATTATATTTTTTAATGTTTTTATTCTTCAAAATGTAATTGTCGAATTATTAGCATCTAAGAAATAATAAGTATTTAATTTATAAAAATGATAAGTATTCAAACTAGCAGTATTCAGAGAAAATCGGCAGCTTCAAGGGTTTCAAACCTAATCTTTAGAATTCTCAAAGTAGCAGTTACAGCAGTGTTACTTTCTATAAGTTAACAATATACTGTTATGCTTTTTGCACAACAGATAACAAGCAAAAAAGTTGCTACTTGAAGCCCCAGTTTTTGTAACTTAATGTGGTTGAACTGTATGTGTATGTGATTTTCTGTTATTTCTTACGATTCTGTAAGTAGAGTTGTCTTGGGAAATATGAACTGATTTTTCTTATTTTTCCTGAAGGATCTGTGACTGGGTGGTAAAGGAAGGATGAGGATGTGCTGGCTACACAGTACCGCTTTACTCTAAAGTTTAGAAGAATAATTATTCAGAAGCATAATAAAAATTGCTTATTGTTTAAAAGTTCGTTCCAAGTGGTTGAGTTGTTATTATTGAGGCATCATAATTTTACTTACGGTATTTAGGAACGCATCTTTATAAACGCGGAGAAAACGGTGGTCTGGAGCAAATCAGCCCTGCTAGAGAATTGTCAAACCCGGTATCTTTCGGTTGTATTTTTTCTTTCAATTCGCACTTATTTCTTCTACAAAAATGATTCAGGGTTACTGGCGAGAAGTAGCACAGCTATGGAAAACCTACGATGAAGAGAAGCTGCCAAATTTTGATTTTGCTTTTAATAGGCTAACTTCTTTTCTGGAGTGGACTTTACAGACTTTAGATTTTGTCTCCGATTTTGGACAGTTAAGCGCTGAAGAGGCTCGTTTTTGTTGTCAAGCAACTTTTTGATTCAAAGCCTGAAACCT